AAATCTCCTGTAGAGAAAAAGGTTAAAGAACAAAATTCCTCCATATCGGAAATTCTCCATTTTTTTCAGCATGAGTGGTTGTTGCTATGGTTATTTTGCTCCACCCTTAACGACACTCAATCGAAAGAACGTCTATTCAGGCATCACTGGAAAATTTTATTATCAAAGGCACCTAGTTCTTCTTCGAAAATGTTGTTGAATTAAGTGTATTTTAATTTTGCAGGGAATAGACGAGGAGTTATCCCTTGCAGCTGAGTCTTTCCTAGAAGGAGAGGATGGCTGCGTTCTTAACATGCCGAAAAGAGAGGTAAGACTCAATATGAGCTCACTTGTGTTTATCTTGAGGTGGATTCTCATCCACTGGAGACAACTCGGTGACAAAGTTTATTTATCCGAAAACGGCGGGTTCAAACCACGGAATAGGAGAAATTGGTGTGAAAATTCGTGAGTTGTGTCCAAATGTTTTATTCTAACAACTAAAAGGAGAAAACCGGCTCTCGTGTCAAAATAGATAATATCGAAAGGTATCGATCGTTCGCCGTGTTTTGATTCTACAATTCGTCAAGTAAGTGTCGGCTTAAAACAGTCGCACTTTTATCACTTGAATTTTTCCTCGCCTCAGTTTCCTTTCTTTTCTCTTAAGTTCTCATCGGGTGCTTTTGCTATCCATCTTTGTTCTGACTGGCCGTTTTGATTACTTTGGTTTGGTTTTTCGACACTTAAGGAAATGTGCTCTTGGAATCTACTTATAAAGACATATTTTTTTTTTAACGAAACAAATCCCAAGTTTTATGGTTCTTATAATGTGTTTTTACTTTTATAAATTGCTTTGCTCAGTGCGCTAAACTTTGTTTGAGAAGGATTTCAATGTGAGTAAATGTAATCTCGAAAGAAGCATCTGAAACAGAAAGATGTGTCGCGATCTTGAGTTGAAATTGACTTCAATACGATACATTATTTCATCTTTAGATTTGCCTAAGCAAGATTTTTCAGTGGTACAGGGTAGATTTTGGCTCCAACAACGAAGAGGTAAATATTATTAGAATTATGCCAACCACATTCGGAAATGGAGAAGGGTAAGACTGATGAACTCTTTGAACCTTTCAACTGAACGAATAACACTGAACAAACGGAAAAAAAAGCAGTGGAATTAACACGCGAACAAACGAAAGCTCGCACGAACGAACGAAAGCTCGTACGAATGAACGAAAGCTCGTACGAACAAAGAAAGCTCGTACGAACGAACGAATACAACAACGAATGGACGAACGAACAAACAAGCAGTGAAAGGAACAAACTTTGGAATGAAAAAACGAACGAACAAGCAATAAATGAACGAACGAGCGAAATGACGGACGAACGTATATGAACAACGAACGGACGATTGAACGAACGAATGAACGACTGGAAGTAAGAACGAAAAAACGAACGACCGAACTAATGAACGGAGGAACGATATAACGCACGAAAGAATGAGGAAATAAACGAACGACCGAACTTATGAACGGAGGAACGATAGAGCGTACGAAAGAACGAGAAAACGAACGAACGACCGAACTTATGAACGGAGGAACGATAGAGCGTACGAATGATCGAAAAATACGAACGAACGACAGGATGCAAGAACAAACGGACTAACTAAGGCAAGAACGAATTAACGACCAACCGAGCGAACGACGAACAGCGAAAGAACGAACGAACGAATGAAGGAACAAGCGAAAGAAGGAACAAGTGAATGAGCAAACCAAAGAGTGCCTACTTGAAACGTTATATTTCACGCCAATATCCCTAGCCTTGATAAAAAGTGATTTTCCTAACAACAGTTCCCCTTGTCCTTGGGTGTATCTTATACTGTTTTGTTTCCGTCTGACTTTTTTTTAGCTGGTTCAGTTTGTTCTGGCACACATGGGACAGGGTCAGAAGAAGGATCAGCTGCAGGAATTACTGATTAGTGGCAACTTTAAAGTCTCTTTCATGAGATACAACTGGGATTTGAATTCCAAACACTAAAACCTAAAGTACCAACCCGCTAATGTGTTAATTATAGGAATTAAACTGTAATACGAAACAATCAGTTCAACGAATCAAGCCAACAGAGTGCACCCCCTGAAAGGCTTCAATTATCTTACAATAATTATCTTCTCTCAACCCATTCCATTCCACGTCTCTTCTGTCTTTGGAGATCCCAGTAGGATTTAGAAATAGCCAGTGGTGTGTAGTGAATCTTACACACATGAATACATCGCGTTATCCATTAATTTTTTTTCCAAAATAATCAAGTAACACATACAGTACATGGAAAATCATATTGGGTGACCACACACCTTGAGTCTAAAAATAACTTAACCAGGAATGGGGTTGTTATGTGGGTATCAGTCTCTTAGCTTATTTTCTCTTGACTGCAAATCAGCAATTTATGGCAAGTTAATTATAATATCTATGTTCCTGACAATGGTAGCTTGTATGTTGACCTTTAATGATAAGTTAATCCAAAGCATCCCCTCCAACAGCAAACTACAATTTTAAAGTTCTGTAGTTGCAAGCAGGTCTGTTGAGGTTAGAAATAGGTTTACCTATGTAATTGTTGTTGGTATTTAATTCTAAAATATTCAAGTTGTAGATTTTTGTAATGATCAAGGTGCATCTTGTAACAGGGATTTATGTAAACACAATAGTATGCTATTTAAATGTACAAGTCTTATAATGGATAATGGGTAATTGGCTTTCCATGCCAGAGGCACAAATTTTGTCCCCTGTACTAAGGGGAATTTACAGCTGGAGTACTGTTTTTCTGAAAGTTTTGGTTAGGCTACCAACATGAACAAGGTGGGTCCTTTTAAGTTCCATGACTTTTTTTAGTTTTTTGGGATCTAGATAATAAATTTACTACCTTTTTATTGTATTTAACACAACAACAGCTGTGGTTCTTATTTATTTATACTTTCAGTTGACCAATTAAACAATGAAAAAATGGTATTTAGTCAATGGCGTTTCACTTTTAAAAAAAAATTCTGTGCAACAAGTACCTGTTCAGAAAATAAGCATTGGAATTCTTCCATCCACGAGGGGAGGAACAAAGAGAAATTGAGCTTGTCTTAAAAATTATTTCTCTGACATCTCAGGGGAGATAGATCCTGGGTATGCTATTTGTGTTGTGAGAATTCTAATAAAAGTATGAAGTACACACTTTATTACTGAAAATGTATTTAGGAGTTGTTGTAAAATTTTTCTCGAGTAGCCTCTACCTCACTTCAAAGAAAGTTGTGATAATTTTTTTATATGATGTATTTTTACACATCACATCAAGTTCCATCATCGATTAAAATAGACATTCCTTATAATGCATTTTTTGGTAAGTAAACTTGCATTCTAACTGAGTTTGTGTAGAAAGTTAAAAGCAGTATAACATCTCATCTAATGATGTGGAATCCTTGAAAGCACTAAGAGCACATCAATTTTGTAGAAAAGCTGTTAATGAGATTTGCTATATCTTTTTGAAACCTTATCATGAACCAACTATGGAGAGTAAACCATTAAATTTTTGTAACCAGTGCCAGTAGTGTGAGGGTATACCTGTGATGAGGGAAGTTGCTTATGCAAAGAATATGACTTAAGTTTTCAAAAAGGTGTATTGCTTCAAAAGAGGGCCAAGAGCAAGTGTGGAACTTTCATTTGATAAACACTTTCCACAAGATTGAGCCTCTTTTCAACTCAGTGTTTTAAAACAATAACTCATGAGAGTAGTCTTAACAGCTGACTCCATTAATGGTAATTTACTAAAGGAACAGATCACTACTAAAATCCAAATATGTAATTATATGATTATATAAGTAGACTTAGTCACAGGAAAGTGTTAATGACCAAGTCTTGATTGGTTTTCAGTTTTCATATGATTGGTTGAGGTGGTGGTGTAAGTTTTTCCCAAAATATTACAAGGGGAAGTAAAGCAAAACCAAAGAAACCCCCCAATTACTTTTGGCACCAAGTTAAAAGTTACTTTCTGTGTCACTTCATACAATGTTGAGAAAGAGGAAAATTACTGAAAGAGGAACAACAGACAACAACTGATCAAACATGTCCATTTAATGCAAGTTAAATGAACATGTTATATCTACTATCTCTTTGGTAGAAATTTAAGTGCTTAAGAGGAAAAACTGCAGCTGATTTTCATATTTCATTCAAAATACTTCTTTAATAACACTTATCCAAGACTACAATTGTACAAGCACACCCTATCTCAAGGTTGATGTGTCACAAGTTAACAAGAGTCACAAGATAAAAAAAGGCTAAATGAAAAAGTGTACTAGTGCCACACTAGCGGTGGGAGTGGGCCACTTTTTTATTTCTTTTGCTTGTGCACCAGATTAAGCTAGAAAAGAGGCTTTGCCCAAAAGGGTGAAATCATTATGCAATTTCCAGAAAATTATAACTGAGGTGTCATTATTCCTCTTCAGCAAAGAATAATTAGGGAGTTTTTGACATGATGTGTTTAAGCTCCTCTCATTGGAGAGAACACAGTTGGTTTTCTTGGTTTCACTGAAAGTTTTTTTTTAATTTTCTCACATGTAAAGTGAATAAGAAAAACAAAAAGGTCTAATTTTTTTTGTTAAAAAGTGTCTAGTTTTGACTCTGCTTAACAATCAAGAGCTGTCATATTTTCAACATAGGACTGCATCAAGGTTAAGTTGCAAAGATATTGATTGGCTGGGAGATAGAGTTACTAATGACCTACTGACATTCTATGCAGGATTATAACATTATTATAATTAAATGTACAATCTAGAGTGGGTACTTTGGACTATTGCTGGTGGTTTGATCAAGGACCAGTTTTACAAAAAGGAATTTATTTTAATGGAATGTACATTTACAGTCACTGGAAAATTCTACACAGTTTATGCATCTTAAGTTGAAAAATTCAGGTAAAACTTTTCATTCCCCAAGTGCAGTTCAACTGATTTTAGTGACCCATAACATTCCCCATATTTAGTGAATCTTTTTTCCTTCTGGATTTAATGCCTTGGTGCTTGTTCATTCTGAGAAACAATCAGTTACACAGCTAACATTTAAAAGCTAGGAAAACCCTAAAACAATGTTCCATGACTGCTTTAAAAATAATATCTATCATACTATGGGTATGTCCAACAGTGATTGCCAGCAACCATATGTGGAAGCCATTTTTTACAGGTCCTCAGATTGTAATGCTTCAATGCAATCACTTGTTATGACTATTCACGACTTAAGTTAACATGTTTTTTGCATTCACTGACAATTGCTATTGATAACCACTACCAGTAACAGTATGTACATACATAAAGCGATGAGAGCAGCTCTTCTGTTTCAGCCACTGAGAACCAATTGAAAATACATTGAGCATAATGGCTACATAACAATATAACAGGAGCTCTTCAAAGGACTACATATCCGTACTGAAAATGATAGGATCAACCATATGTATTTGTGCACTAACATATACAGTTAGTACAAGTAACTTAACTTCCTTTTTCCTAATTTGTAGAAGGTTTTGAAATCCTAGTGCTTAGATAGTGCAAGGTTAACGACCTTTGCGTTTCCCACTTTGATCTGAAAAGTTTCCTGAGCGAATCTGATCTGTAAAACAAAATGAAGCAGAAATCCACATGTTCACCCATGGCTAGTTCTTCATATTAGTTAGTTCTTCAAATAAGTCAAGTATCACCCTTCAAATCACAAGCAGTCTCTGGGATCACATAGATTTACTCCTGACAGTAACTCAACTTCAATTGTATGATTTTTTTCAGTTAGGGTTGAGTTGTTTCATGGAGGCATGATTAATCATTTGATCCAGTTTAATTTGCAAAAGCAAAGTTTACTTTTAAAATACACAGATATTCTTGGGTTTGGGAGGCTCATTGGCCTGGCAGTTTGAGTGCTCAACTTTGAATTGAGACACTTGTGTAAGAGTCTCAGCCAGGTCACTGTGTTATGGTGGAGACTCATTCTTTCCCTTGACAGTCCCCCTCCCTCCACTTTGAAAAAACTACCAAGAGTTTAGAGTTCTACTGGAGGGGAAGGGGG